TTCCTGCATCATCCAAAATTGACTTAAAACAGTTAGTGTTAGGCTTTATATCAGCCACCAATGTGCCACAAAAATCCAGCCACTTACCATGTACTCAAAAACAAGGCACAGAATGTCACTTTCTCGAATAACTTCCTTCAGCTTCACGATATTTGGATGACTCATTTTTCGTAATGACTGCCATAGGAGAAGTTAGAGAATAAATATATGCAGAAGCATATATAATATGTGAAAAAATAAGGCTAAATAAAGATCAAAAGGATGCAATACCTTGACTTCTCTCAGGTTTACACACTCCTCCCAAGAGTAATATTTCTTCTTCATTTTCTTGATTGCGACCTATAATTTTATGACATATTAGAGAAAACACAAGAATGCAACTTCACATAGAAGTTAGAACACCATCATTCTACTTGAAGCACACTTACTACTTCACCACTTTGCTTGTTAATGGCTCTCCAAACAGTCCCAAATGTTCCATCACCAACTTCCTTAATTAACTTGTACCTATGTTCATGAAATGGAGAAAACCTCTAAAGATATTTCAACAGTAAATAAAAGGGTGTATAACAACTGGCTTCTGCAACAAATACTCACCTCTCCATTTCCCCCAAGAGAACCCAAAGCAGGTCTTATTCAAAAAGCAGTTGCAAACACACAAAATATAGATGGCATTTATCTCTAGCAGACAATGCCAAGAAAAGGATAGGAAATGTTGACAGATATTAGATGGTCTAGCAAATGCCACCGTCAATTCTTGGACATGGAAATAAAATAAAAAACATAAACTTTCTGATGGAAGGGCAGCATAGCCTTATTGATTAAAAGACCCACAGCTTTGTAATGGTAGAAGGATGCATCTGGTAGAAATGAACAAGTCCTGAAGAACATAATAACAATGCCCAGGTCCAACAAAAATGATTGCTCAAAGCAACATTAATTTTCAGCTAAACTCATCATGACCCCAAACTTCAGGACTTCTGTAATAGCCACTTCATCTAATCTACATAGATTTTGTTTCAGAATTTTCTGGTAACTAATATTTTGTCACCACCAATATCCATTAGAAGCAACAACACAATGATAGTTAATAAGTACTGTCTCCTCTGTTTCAATCCAATCAGTTATCTAATACTTGAGAAGCAGGCAGCATCCAAAATTCACACATCAATATATGTACTTCAGCCCTGTAAAAAAAAAGGAAAGGTTGAGTTAAATTTTAGCAAGTAAACACAGGTGAAGATGATACACAACTGTTCCCTGATGGATCTCCTACCCCAGAAATGGATTTTTCAGATGTTTCAACTGGATGTTGGGTCAGCAATGCACTGTCAAAGGAACACTTATTAAGAATCAACCTTTTTATAGGTTTTAACCAAAATGACAAATAAGCTCTTACTTGTATATGTTCCCTAAAGATGCAGCACCTATCTCAGAAGAAACGAGCATTACGTACACTGTTCTGATCATTAAAGTAGAACAGAAAACTAGGTGCAATTAACAAAGGAAACAAGAAGAAAATCTCCAAGGATGAAGAATCGGCGGTCAAGCACTTCTTGGGATGAAAGCAACCAATATTGGAAGCAACTAGACAAGAAACAAACTCCTTCCATCTCTCAAAAAATATATCAAGATCCGCAAGATACAAACCCAGATCACCCTGCAATAAGAGAAAATGGACAAACATCAGATTAGATTAATAATCTGCAATGTGTAAATGCAAATGGGCAACAAAGATAGAAATCTCAACAACAAAAAAATGACAGGTAATATGATAGACTCAAATGTTATAAGAATATCAAAATTAAAGAGCATGCAGCAACAATACCCAGAAATATATTCTATTTATTTATACCTTCTAATTTGTTGCTAAAAGTTTCAGCAGAAATTTTTGATGTTTTTCCAGTGATACAAAAGTTACAAACACAATGATACCAGTCTATCTACTAAGAACTAAACTATGTACATAAATACAATGATTAAACAAGTTACAAGAAATTTAGTAAGATGGAGAACATAAATAATTTGCATGTCCAGAATTAATATAACTGGTACAGGAGGAATGTTAAATGAATAATTAAAACCATTTAGACACATCCATATTAATCCACAAAACTACATTCCATACACCATCACCCGCCAATTCACCTTCAAACATAATGCCCACGAAATCCCACAACGAGCATCAAAATTGAAAAATTGTACACAGGATAGAGAATTAAGATTTGGATTCTGCCTCAAAGACAAACCCATCTCCAATCAAAATAAAATATGTATGACAATTTCATAGGATCGGATCCTTCATTCTTATCATCCGATCCTATTAAGCCCTAAATCATATCACAAAAAGCCGAACACATTCTCTGCAAAACCCCACAATCAGCGTACACGAATGCACAGAAAAGAACAATTAGCGCCATTCTAATAATTAGAGAATTCATGACGGGCCAATTCACCTAGCAAACAAAGTGCCCATTAAGAGCATCCAAAGTGAAACCGTTAATAACAACGATAATTAACCTTCGGAGTTGGTGAGAGGCGCGAGAGAAACCCATCTCAAATCGAAACCCTAATTAACCCATACACCCATCAAAATCCAAACACAACCTTCTTTGCAAAATACTACAACAGCTAAACCAGTTCCCACATCCCCATTCCACAACCGATTTTTTTATTAATTTTCATTTTCTCATAAGATTTCAAGAATGCTAAATAAACTTGCAATTAAGGTCGTATCGGATCGGATCTGAAATGCAAGAGGAGGAGGAAGAAGAAAAACCTGAAATGGCCGAAGGAAGAGGACCGTCACGAAGGACGGGAAGAGGACCGTCACGAAGGACGGGAAGAGGTGGAATCCAGAGTTTCCCTCTCTCTCTCTCTCTTGTGCAAGCAAAGCCAACCCAATACCAATAAAGTCAATATTTCCTATATTTCCTATCCTCTCTCACTCTCCTTTTATTTTTTTTACTTCTTCTTTCGCACCAAACTTTGAATATTCTCTTTAAAATTTAGAGTAAAGTATACTCCAATATTATAAATCTAATAGGACCATTTAAATGTTTTTATATAATTAACTAAATTTATAATAAATAATTTTTAAATTATATCAATTATATTTTAAATTACAATATAAGCTTATTTTTAATAAATTATTGAAATTGAATTTAGTTATACATATAAAATAAGAAATCATAAATAAATAAATAAATAAATAAGAAAATTAATATATATATATATAATTTGGAGAGTGTGAATAACAAATTTTATCCCGACTCAAATAAGATTTGATAAAGGAGGGTTTAAATAACACCAATATAATTTTTACTAAGTATTATACCGCTCAATAACTTTATATTAAATGTGAATTTTATAAATTCAATCGTTAAATTGAAAGTTATTTACTCTTAAATCATATATACCAAATTTTATATTAGTCAAAGATGATTTGATACTTCATTTTTATAAAACAAAATTGACGTAATATATACATTTCAAATATAATAAAATATTAACTATAAGAATGAAGTATAAAATCATCTTAGATTAATACAAAAATTTGTATACATGATCTAAGAGTAAATAACTTTCAATCTAACGGTTGAATTTACAAAATTTAAATTTAATATAAAATTATTAAGCAAAGTAATACTCAATAAAACTTACACCGATATCATTTGAACTCTCATCTATTTGATATATTGGACTCCATCAATATTGGATAAGATTGGTTTACATTGGTTACAAAGTGGATTAAGTATGCATAACTATAAACCAAAAAATAAGATATCATGAATTAGTAGTTAAATTAGATTTATATATGTAAAAAGAGACTTATCATAGGAGAAGAGATGATGAAGGAGGGAGAGAAAGAATCAGTGACGAAGAAAAAAGAAAGCACAAGAGAAATGTTTGGATGAAGAATTTTAAAAATTCAAAATATTTGAATTTCTTAGAATTTAAATTACTTTAATTACAATTTCTATCATTCTTTAAATGTTTTACTTGGATAAGTCAATTTAAATTTTAAATTCTTACTTTGGATATGATAATTTAATTTTCATCATGACTAAAATTGATTATATATATATATATATATAATATTGATATTTTAAGATTAAATTTTATATAAATAAATATAATTTAAAAATTAATATTAGATAATATTTTATAAGGCTTAAATATATTTTTAGTCCCTCAAATTTAGGCTAAATCTATTTTTGATCCTTCAAATTTAAAATTGTTGTTTTTAGTCCCTGTAATTTTAAAAAATCTTAATTTAGTCCTTATATTCAAATTTTGTTAAGAAATTTATCAAATATTATTGCATAAAATCTACATATTGGTGTCCCTATTAGTGAAAATATCACATTAAATCCGGTTGATATTGCATAACTGTCTTAATTAGTCACTTTCAAATATGTTATTGGTGACCTAAAGGACTAAAACAAGATTTTTGAAAATTACAAGGACTAAAAACAACAGTTTTAAATTTGAGAGACCAAAAACAAATTTATCTTAAATTTGAGGGACTAAAAACATATTTAAGCCTATTTTATAATTAAAAAATATTTTTGAATATTTGATAATTAAGAAATAGGAGAAAGATAAAAGGTATATAGGTGAGATAAAAGAGAAAAAATATGAAGAATTTCAAATTCTTATTTTTTTTGGAAGAATTTGAAAATCTACTATTTTAAAGAATTTTACAAATGCTTAAATTTCAAAATTTTTATAAATTTTTCATTCAAACAAAATAACATTTTATCTTAAGGCATTTGAAATTCTTAAAAAAAATGAATTACTCCATTTAAATTTCTCATCTAAATCACTCTTAAATATTAGAAGAAAGATTTTACACTACATTTAAAAATTGTTGTAGGGTTGATAAGAAGTCTAAAGCACACATCATCATTTATTGGACATCAATTAATCACAAGTTGAATAAATTATCAGTTTCACCTTGAGGTATTCATTTTTTATTTAACATTTGTTTCATTAAGTTTCTTAACTTTCATTTTATACTGAATGTTAAAATCTTGTAGCGAATTTTTTACTTTTTATTTTTATTTTGGATTGGTGCTATATAGTTTTTTAGCTTGTGTAATTTACATGCATGTTTATTATATATAATATAATTAAAAAATTTAAGATAAAAAAATTTAATTAAAATTTATAAAA